TTTTGCATGGCAAGGTTGGGGTAGCAGGGGCTAGAAGCTTCCCCCATGTCTGACAGAGCCAACGCCAGCTGGCTCCAAAATGGACCTGCTGCTGGCCAAGGCCAAGCCCAGCAGCAATGTTGGTAGCACCTCTAGGATAACATAGTTAAGGAGGGGGAAAAACATCAAGAGCAATTGTGGCCAGAGAGAGAAGTGAGAGTATATGAGAGGAGCAACTCTGCAGACACCAAGGTCAGTGCAGAAGGAGGGGCAGGAGGTGCTCCAGGCACCAGAGCAGGGATTCCCCTGCAGCCTGTGGAGTACCCCACGCCAGACCAGGTAGATGCCCAAAGGAGGCTGTGACCCCATAGGAACCCTGCGCTGGAGGAGACTCCTGGCAGGACAGACCTGTGGCCCTGTGGAGAGAGGAGCCCATGCTGGAGCAGGTTTGCTGGCAGGACTTGTGACCCTGTGGGGGACCCGCGTTGGAGCAGTCTGGTCCTGAAGGACTGCACCCCTTGGGAGACTCCCATGCTGGAGCAGTTCTTGAACAAGTGCAGCCCCTGGGAAGGACTCACACTGGAGAAGTTCATGGAGGACTGTCTCCCATGGGAGGGATCCCACACTAGAGCAGAGGAAGAGTGTGACGAGTTCCTCCTCTGAGGAGGAAGGGACAACGTGTGATGAACTGACCACAACCCCCATTCCCCATCCCCTGCACCACTGGGGGGAGGAGATAGAGAAATTGGGAGTGCAGTTAAGCCCTGGAAGAAGGGAGGAGTGGGGGGAGATGTTTAAGATTTGGTTTTATTTCTCATTACCCTACTCTGATTTGATCAGCAATCAATTAAACTATTTTTCCCCAAGTTGAGCCTGTTTTGCCCATGATGGTAATTGCTGAGTGATCTCTCCCTGACCCTATCTCGACCCAGGAGCCTTTCGTTATATTTTCTCTTCCCTGTTCAGCTGAGGAGGGAAGTGATGGATTGGCTTTCATGGGCACCTGACCTCCAGCCAGGGACCCCACCACATTATGCTTCCAACAGAAACAACTTATAATCCCTTTAAATAGCTATTTTTCTTTTTCATGATAGGGACAGGCAACACTACACGCCTTCCTCATCCATCCCTCTTCTCATCACTTACTGAGCTGAGAGAATGAGTGTTAACTAGATACCTTCTCACTCCCAAAGTCTCTCTTATGTTTCAATCATGCTCTTTTTATTCACAAAGTACACCTCTTACTAGCTCAGACACCGTATCAGTACAGCTAACGCCACTTTTTAGACTCTAATTCCTAACTCCATGAAGATCTCTGGGTGAACGAGGTTGGCCCAGCAACAGCTCTAGCTTCTCTGCTGTGTGCCACTGGATGCTGTGGCCATGCACTCTGGATCCTCCTCTCTCCCACACTTTGCCAATCTCTTTTTACTCTGCAATCTTCTGCGCTGCTGGAGAATTCACCTTAATATGGGTTTCATACACCCAGCCATGAACAGAGAGAAACAATCTTAATTTCTTTTGGCAAGCAATGTTCAAAATTCCCTATCAAAAGTCACAATCCCTGTTGCCACAAGAGAGCCATTCTGCTCTGACTCTCTAAAGTAGTTCTTCAGTACCATTAAAATTCAGATCTCGATGAACCCAAACTAGATTACAAATAACAAAAGAACAAAATTAGAACTCACACACATATATATACATACACACATTCAAACCTAGTTATTTTTAAAGTACTACTTTTTCAGGAAAACTAGTTTATTTCTATATTACAAGATTACAAAAGTTATACGCTTTATTTTTTACTTTTCTTCACTCAGCGTATTTTTAGAACCCATATGTAGTTTAATACATGACTACTAGTGATGTATAAAAAACATCCTTAACTGAGGAAAAATGCGGGGGTAGAGAGGAGGCTGGAGTTAATAGAAAAATTAGTGGTATTACTGAGTTACAGATTTCCTTAGATCATCCCTATCATGCATATTATTTAGCTTTTGGTCAGACTTAAAACAAAATACTGTAGCTACCAAAGAATTTATGCCCTATTCCCCCTCAGCTATTTTCCTTGCTTATGAGTAAACTCTCATTTAGGAGATAACAGCCTTACAGCAGGTTAAATTAGAAAACATTAAAAGGCTATGTGAGGGGTTTGCTGGTGGCTTTGGTTTTGTTTTTCTTTGAAAATAAAATTATACATCAACTATTACATGCTATTATTTGTTTCTCTTTTGGGAGAAGGAAAAAGAGACTGTTAATTGAAAAGCAGGGGCAGGTCCACAGATTTCACTGCAATGCCTAATACCTATATCTGAGGAGTAATGGAAAGCATGAAACAAAAATACAGTTACAGAAGATATGGACAGAACACTAAACTTTATACAGTAGTATGCTAATCAGTAACAGATAAGAACAGGAACAGGCAATTAATGGGGCTTCATCTGAATGCTGCCTCTCCATTGCAAGGAAGTAGTTATGGGACAAAAAACATGTCTATGAAGGACATTACTATGAAGGAATCAGAAACATAGACAATAAACATGAGTAAGTTGAGCACAGAGTTATTCCAGGTACAGTTCACTCATAGTGAGTGAAACAGAATAGACTCACAGTGTCAGTATATATTCAGCAAAAGGACAAAGTAACATTTTGAAACTACCTTCTGCCATAGAATCCAAAAGCCCTCAGTAAAAGCCAAAGTTACTGAAATTAACACTATTTGCTGATGAAAGCAGAACCCCAAACACTGAAATAGTAAGTGACATAGGCTGAGCTTACACCAAGCCTGTTAACAGGAACAGAAATAAGTCTTTTTGACTACCATATTTCAGCATCTTTCCTCCAGCAGCTTTCACTGTCACCTTCAAATAATTAGTCTAGTAGTTTCTTACTATCGTATTCTACAATGGAAAATAAAGTCTAACTAATATTCAAGGTCTAAATCTTCTGACGCTGATTCAGATGTGGATGTTCCAAGTCATTACAACAGTGGAACCACTATTCTGCAAAAACAGAGGCCACCTTAATCCAATAAAAACTGCCTTCAATTACATGTTTCCTACCTGATCAAACTGAAGATCTTCACCTCTTTGAAGAGATCTGGACAAGAGTTTTTCCTGTAAAAAAAGAAAGAAACACAAATTTCACAACACAGTTGACTTATCAAAAATAGATTCCTTTTTTCTCAGTTATATTATAGAACAAAGAAATAACTCTTAACGTGAATATTTACATTATTTTTCAGCTAGAACCATTTCTGAAGATATGAAGTATATATCTAAAATTAATTTGGTAGCTTAATAGTAATAAGGTTAAAGACTGACAAACAGAAAATGTCAAACACCTCTCCCAAACAGCAGGGCCTACTGCAGTGTGCTCGGAGATAGCTGGCAGTTGGTGCCAAGTATAACTTAGAAGGAAAGCCATTCCCATCTGAATTAACAAGCATATTCATGTTCACATACGGCAGTTACTGTAAACTACAAGAATGAATTTTAAAATGCCTTCTACAAAGGCAGAGAGAATTGTTCAACGCATTTCCAATCTCCAATGAAAAACAGCTAGAAAACCTCGTCCACGAAAAGGAAAATGTCAATAACAACTTGCTTTGCATTTGAAATAACTTTGTAAGGTACAGAAAAGATACAATTTAGAATTTAATTATTACAATATTTCATCACTACCAGTACATAAGACATACTGCTCTGTTAAAAGCAAAATTAAATCATATTTCTGCAAAATAATTTAGTGAGAATTAAAGCATTAACAAAACACTCATGAATTATAATAGTAATTCTTACCAAAGCAGTAAGAGACTATAAAGATGTGATGAGCATTTTTTGCTACTTAAATTTTAAACTACTTTTCACTTTATTATAAATCAATTGAAAATGTTATCTTTGAGGAGGAAAGTAGAAAAGCACTCAAGGTAAGGAGTTAACAGCTCACATTAGATTGCAGTAAGCAAACACAGAGCTTCTATGGAGCAAGTTAAGTCAAGGAGTAAACTGGAAGGGCCCGTTAACTCGCCTGGTGTGGGATGTAAAAGGAGGTGTCAGCGTACTGACAGGCAGTACTGCTCTCAATGGGTTAATATAATTGCTCAGTAGTTTAATAAGAAGCAACACCCATCCTGTCAGACTGTTGATAAAAATTTAAAGTCTCTATTGCTTGGCATTTAACACTTGCAAGGCTGCCACAGATGACCACATATTAAACAGATACAAATCGGGATTGCATGTACCAGGTCCAAGATTCAAACTGGCAGCTTATTTTCGCTTGTCCTAATCTTGAAAACACGAGACACTTTCTGGCATTTTCTGCTATGAGTGCAGCTGTATTTGGCATTCAAAAGGACACAACTATTACAACCTCTGAAAAGCTGAATTCAGCATTGCCCAGCCAAAAATCATTTGCCTACTCAAAGCATAACTTGAAATAATACAGGTACCAATTCACAAGTCAGACCATTTTCACCTTCTATAATCCAAAGAAACACACTTAATCGTCTAGGAAAACAGTGTCATTTATGTACACTTCCAATACATAAATATTTAAAAAAAAGAAGGTAGTTTCAGGAAAATGCATTTAATATTCAGATATAGTTCTATGTGTTCACCAACTGATATATTAGCCAATGTTCCTACACCGTGTATTCAAAAGCAAGGGGGAAAGGTTTCAGAAACTGGCAAATAAACACTTCTTTGGATCTTACAAATTCATATAATATTACATGTTAAGTCTGTTCAAAATACTGTTATGAGAATTGACATTTTGCAGCACATACTAAAAGCTCCAGAAAGCACTTGCAAATCAGAATTCCCTTTTAACTAGAATTCCTTCCTCCCTCCCCTATTTTTATAAGGAAACATCTACTGTAGGTGAATTTGTGTTATCTGGACTATGTTTTTAGATAAACTGTACAAATAATTGTAATCTTATCCACAAAGCAAAAACATGAGGAATGTTCCACCCTATATAAACATCATATATTGCTGAACAAGCTGAAGGAAAATAACTGGAAAAATATTTCCTGAGAAGATGGAGAAGTGACTTTCCTGTAAGAAGAGGGTGAAAAGTCAGGTTCCTTAAGACTACAAAAAACTTTTGTACAGGTGAACAAACACCGGGTTTGTTATACCTATTGCATGTGTCTAAAACCAGAAATAGCTAAAGAAAAGAATGATAACAAATCAGAGAGAACTGAAATAATCTTTAAGCCTTTAGACAAAGTTGAAATCCATGTCAATAGATAGCAAACTATTTTTAAGATAGTTCTGAAAGTTTTGCTTCCCCCTTACACATTCTATACTGAGACACTTCTGTACATCAAATGTTGCTACAACTTTTAAGATTTTTAGTATCAGAAAGAATGAAGACCTTACAAGTCCATAATCCTATCTATTATTTTTCCTCAGCATTAAAAATCTTAACTGCTAAAAGGTAAATATTACCATAGTTAATGTAACACCGACCAAACAAACGTGACATGACCAAATAATACTGTTTAACCCAGTCACGGGTTTATCAAAGCCTTTGAATTACTTGTATAGCTTTAAAAAAATTGTTTTCTTTCAATGTCTTTTTCTAACTCTGCTTTGTCATGGGCCCAGTCATCCCACATGACTTACAAAAATCTGTTCCAACAGCATAAAGTAAAGGTCTGGAAACTTTCACTGAATTAATAATTTAAGATTTATTTTCCTGGCTTCCTGAAGATCAGACAGAGATGGAAATAATAGGTCTACATTTATCTTTTACAAGTGAAATGAAAAAAAACCCCACTATTGAATTAACCAAAGAGTAGTTTGCATCCATTGCGTAAAGCAGAAATGTCAACATATGGCAGGCAGCAGAGATCAGGATGTAGACAGACGTGCAAGTGTTGTGCAAACAGCAGCAGCCCTGGAAAAAGGTACCACCCGTTGGCCCCTGTCCAGCGTTCACCAGCACTGTCCTCTGGTGGCTCGCACACCTCAGCAGGGCGGCTCAGGTGAACACAGCGAAACCACCGTGCTTGTTTTTGTCCTCCAAGCTACAAGTAAGAAACCAGACAAGCGATGCCGTCTTGCCTCCCATAGCCCAAGCGCTGGGCAGCACCTGCATCCTTGCCCCAGCGTCAGAGCAGCGTACAAGAAACACTGCGCTGAAGAAATACAGTGTGCTAAATTTTACGTATTTCAGAAAGGCTTTTGAAAGCATCTGGGCAAGACTTGCAAAAGCGTACAGTACTAGTCTGAGCAACGTTTAGTTTCTCCATGATGGGATAAAATAAGGCTGTTGCCAACACCACCAAAATACTCTTGATAGTTTTCACTTAGACGTGAGACAACTACAATTTAGTCAGTTAGCAACTTACCTAATTATCAGGTTGGTAACTTGGTGGTACCATGCTAAACTGTCTCTGCTTAAATTCTAACAATCTATGTTGACATGCAGCCTGACAAAATACAAGATAACTGAATTTATCACTGATCCTTTTCACTGGTATAGTTGGTTTGACATCTGGGGAAGGCTGGCATCATGCCTCAGCAATCCTTGCTCAGCTGAGAAGAGTATTTTAAGCTACAATAAATTGTGTCTGAGCCCTTTTTCTTTTAAAACTATACAATACTACAAAAGACTTAGAAAAAATTATTTTAAAACAAGAAAAAAAAGGTGTTCTAATTTTACTCACTAAAAGGATTATCTTTCTTCCCATGGTTATGCTTGCTACTGAAACATTTATTTTAAGCATTTGCTGATAAGCTCTTTCTGTAACTTCGGAAACTCTGCGGTATTACAATTTTGCAAGCAGAGAACTCTTAATTGAATCAGTGAAACTACTTTGTTACTTACTGAGTATCCTAAGTAAATCATAGCCAGAGAAACCATTTAGTTACTTCTAAAAATCACAAGTCAGTTACTCCCAGACAATACTGGTACCATCCCCTCACCCCCAGGTGCTGTCTTGATCTGAGGTTACTATTTCATTTTCTTTTTAAAAATTAATTATTTATTTTAAATTCATTTTTGCTCCCCTCGTGACATGTTCATCTTCAAGTTTTAAAAAAGTGTCTAGCTCCTAACTTTAATTGGTCTGGCTCCAAATTCTCTCCAACAGCCTAGCTTCATCTAACACGTTAAAGATTCATGCAACGCTATATATATTCTCTGCAAACTTGATTATTTGTAGCCAAGTCATCCCACAAAATCAAATCACACTAAAATGATAAAGGCTTTCCTCTCTTCCTGTAAAGCCTTCTCTCCAATCCCAATCAGTACCGTTCCTGTGCCCCTTCAGCCTTTTATCCTTCTCTTTACCTGTCATATACTAGAACTGAATATTCAGTATTTATATCAAATACTACACACAAAAATAAAACCACTTTAGTACTTCCTTTCATTCAGACACCTAAGGATTCCCGTCCACCTCTTTGTATTACACTGGCTCAGGTTGATTTACTTTTTCACAGCTTCTAGCACCTCTTTTAAATTTCTGGTTTTCCACAGAGTCCTTCCTTCCTATCAGTAAGGAATGTTGGTTATATATGCAAATTTACATCTGACTGCATTAAAATATTTTGTTTAAAGAAATTCAAGTTAGCAAATGAACCCAGACAGAACTGTAAAAAAGACTTTGATAAATGACTACTTCACTAATATTTATCATTTCATATTTTTCCCCAAAGCATATTGTATACACACAAAATAACAATTTCAGAATCTTATTAGTAAAAGATCCTGACTAATGTAGACTTCATGGAGTCAACATAGAACCTCACCAGACAAAAGAGCTGGGAATCACTCTTCTGAAAAGTGCATTATTTCATTAGTTTCATGGGTTTTCTAATTTTTAACCTGGTAAAATGTTTGGATTTTGTATGATTAACAAATTTTAAAATGTTTGTTTAACAGTTAACAGCATGGCAGGGAGACGCAGCCTGGGACTGTTGGAGTATTTATTTAATCTGGTCTATGGACAAGCTTTGCAGCACAAGTGAACTGCAGGGCTATTATATTTACCTTGCTACCAGTATTCTGGTTAGGAGATTGAACTCCAAACTAGCTATGGCTACAGGAAAAGCCCTCTTCAGCGTACCTCAATCACAGGCAGCCTAGATCACTCTGGCCAAGCGCTACCCTCCTGTATGTTTAGGAGATGAATGGAAAATGGGCTGAGGGAGCAGCATTTTCCACCTACAGCATCCCCATCCCCACAGCTCTCCTCTCGCTTCCTAACCACGTACCCTTCGCTGTTGGCATGTCCCTTTTCCTACAAACGTTTCTGTGCTTTCTTACCAACTCTCCTGAATACCTTTTGGATGTCTCTGAGGAAACAGACAAGTTATGTGGTACACATGCATATATATATATATACACACACACACACAGAGTGTATAGCCAAGTAGGTATGTATAAATAAATGGTTCCTTTTCCTCAGTCTTTGATCTACTAAGGGTTTTAGCTGAACATGATCCACTCAGACCAGAACATGTTTAGCCTCCTTTTTGTGTTCTTTTGGATTGCTGCTCATAACATTTTTCCTAAAGTGTCAAAACTGGGGTCCAAGTGCTCACATGTGCTTTTTTTCTGTAACAGGATCATCCACAGTAATAAAGAACGTTTTTGCAAGCAGCAGTTGCAAAGAGAGGCCTTTCAATTCAGCTTTTTAGTTATAATTTCTAATTATTTTATCTTTTGCCTGTAACTAAAAGAACTTAACTTTAAGATTTCAACACTCAAATGCATTGCATGCCACATCTATTTCATGTCTTTGACCTATTTTGTCCAAGAGATGGTAATGTAGAGATTACAGCCCCCTGCTTATATGTAAGGAACTAATAACACTTTAAATTGCATTCAAACAAAATAATTGCATCTATTTAGAAATAAAAATTAAATGTATGTTGCAGGAAGTATTCCTGGCTGAACAACATGGATAGCATCCAATAGTGCCATAGCTCTAATGCAAGGATTTCTGTCAATTCTGAAACCACTAAGACTGTCCTGTACATTATACTCTACCTTCAGACGATGAGAAGAAATGAGCAGAAAGAAGCACCCTTATGCAAAAGCAAGTAGATAAAAATTAGGGAGAGAACAGCAGTAAGAGAAAACAAGAGGACCTGACACGCAGTGGGTGGCAGCAGGGGTTGACACAAGAAGGAGAAATGGAGACAGAAGCATTCGAGCGCGTGCCCTTCCAACCCCAACATCAGGCCTGCTTTCTCAGAGGGCTTACCAACAAAAGAATGAACAAATAAATTCTTTTAGGAACTGCTAAAGCATGATGGTTACAAGGAAGAGAAACATCTGAATTAAGACTGCCACCGTATGCTCAATTCAACATGTCAAAACACAGCTTACCATAAAGTTCATTCTACATAGTCATATATTGCTCTTACGTGAGCATCTGTGTTGCATCTTGCATGTACAGGATCACTATGTGATACAGCAAATTGTAACTAACGTGTGCATCTGTCTCATTTCTTATAAAATTTGAAAGGTATGTGGGAAATAGGACAGTATGGGACAGATAAGTTTATTTTTGTAGCTATTTAAAGCTATTTGGAGGAAATGGGACACATAGAACAACAGTTTATTTGATAGCATGCCCATAATATAGCATAATCTTGACATCATGCCTTGGGCATAGCAGAGTCATGATTGCTTGCCATTACATAAAGTTATGGGGTTATTAATAGTTTAAATTTTTTTTAAAATTACAAGTAAATCCAGTAAACTTCTGATTTTGTAACATAATGACCTTTTCTTTTTTAAGCTATACAGTAAGCTCTTCATGAATCTTCACTAAAATTAAGTTAAATATTAGGTAGCTGAGTGAGCTTTCTTCCTCCAAAAGGCTATATGCATCCTTGAATGAAAAAGTCTGAGAAAAATTGCACTACAAAGTATCTTCAAAACAATTTTATTATGAGAATTAAAGGAGAAAGAAAAGCACAGGGACAAGAACGTTGAGGAACTGAGCAAAGTCAAGAACATCAAAAGCTGCATTACCACATGGAAGACATTACTGCTGTATTAAGCTATACCTGTAAAAATATTATTATTTTAGTGAAAGTTCTGATCCGATCACAGCTGCAATGCACTGGGTATGACCTTTACAGGTCATATGTTGAGACTAGAGAGTGCATTTGCATTTCCCATTGAACATCAGGATGGTAAATCACTTGTGTAAAAAACCCCAAATCCTGCATCTTAAAGGGATACTAACTCATAGCTTTAAAAAAAAAAAAATTTTTTTTTTTTTAGAAATCAATCCACAACTGAGTGAAATTTCCAAGTTAAAAAAAAAACAAACCACCATTTATTTCAAGATCATGCAGCCTGGATCACCAACAGAATTTTGCATTTTGCCTAATCTGCAATATATACTGGCTACTATCTTCTTCCAAGTGTTAGTGTCATTACTTGGGAAAAGAAACCAAATGCATCTCTTCTTGAAAGTACATTGTACATATTATTTCCAAGGAACACCAACAGGAAACACTTTGCAGTGTTAATGAAGGAATATTTTTTGTTGTCACTGTTTCCTGTTGTAACTTCACAGAACTCATGAATACTAAGAGGTCTTGTTTCCAGTAACCACTGCGTAACAGTTTTAACGGAAGTCAATAAAACATAATCCAGGTAGCAATCCTGTTTGCAGAAGCCTATTTATTCTTGAAGTAATCCCTTTGAAAAATCAACAATATCTGTGGACGGTTGTTTTCCAGTAATCATACATATGATAAATCAGCCTATTTTAGAAAAAAAGTAGGAGCATTTCAAGGGACACTAAGGAAAAAAAAAAAGACTCACCAAAGGTTCAGCCATTACAACTTCAATTTTCTTTTCAGCCTGAACAGCAAATTCAGCAAAAAGGCTTTTGATGACATACTCGCCAGGTTTGACATCTGGATCAATAGTAAGGTTAGACATGATGATGCCTCTCTTTTCCCAGGTGGAAACAACACTTGGAGAAACTCTGCGTTTATTTACTCTGCTGGGTGGCGTGGAGGCTATAGAAAAAAAAAAAAAAGAAAATTAAAGAACGATAAAGCAGAGCTTCTAAACACAGTGCCTGTCACTTCTTTACTTTACATGCTAACTATTTTTCTCCACTCTCTAGTCACAAATCTGAAAGACCTGCTCCTTATCAGAAATACTAATTAATTGATCAATATAAATAACACTGGATATTAGCCTCCCTTTCTAAGGATTAGCGCTTTCAGTCTTATACTGAAATTGTCATATACTACGTTTACATATATTTATCCACCTTCAATTTTATTTTTCTCCCTAAGCACTCAAAAACATTTCTTTACTATCGCAGTTGTCACCCAATGTGAACTGCAATACCAAAAATCAGGTATCAGAACTCACTCACACACAAGTTTAATGCACGCACGTAACAATTCGAGTAAATAATTACAATTCTTGTCTTGCACACTATAAATCAAAATCACTATTGACATCTCTAATGATGCCACAGATCTACTCAGACAGGTCTGATATTTCTCTAGCATATTTTACGATTACAGAATTTATTTTTTTATTGATACTAGGAATTGATATTAAGAATTCTTACCAGTTGATATTAAGATGTTATTTTCCTAAGATTGTTCTATAAGGAGCCTAGTCTCAGTCTACTTTACTGTATTACATATCACAATTTTTTCAGGTAAGCTTCTTTAAGGCTTTTTGCAGCTAAAGTGTGAGCTGATGCACTTGGCCAATTTTGATGAACTTTCAAAATTTTTGTGTTTTCAACTTGTACATGTGCAATTCCTATTAACTAAATATTATCCACAATTTTGACTCAAACATTTTTCAGTGTTCAACTCATTCATGACAATGTCAGTTGCCATGGAGAGAAAACCTTTGGTACTTCACTTTGCATCTTCCCAAGTTTGCATCTCAGCCATTCATAATCTCTTCTATCACTTCAGAAAGTTATATTTTACATAACTCAGACTTCTTCAACTTTCATAGAAAGTATTCATTTATCAGATGCATTACTGAAGTGAACAACAATTCAGCATGAGTGAAAACATAAGCCTCTAATCAAAAAGGAAGGGTGCCTTGCATAAGGTTGGGAGTACTAAATATAACTTGTGTTTTTTCCATTAAGTATTTTTTGTACAAACTTGCTGTTTAGCTGGAGTTATGTTTATTTTTTCCTACGCATAAATTACACTATGCCGTCTTCAAGGCTGGAAGGACTTGCCAAGGTCACAGAGCTGAGTTCCCAGCAACCAGGGACAACACCAGAATGACATGCATGCACACCGCATGCCATAAAGCATTTCTGAACATCCTCTAACACTTTGATCTAGGTAACAGGGATCCTAAAAGACACAGAAGAGCGTGTGCCCCAGAGCGCAGGCAATGGGAGATCAAAGACACTGCCGTGTTCTAGATCCCTATGGTGGAAGTTCGCTAGATGGAAGTACACGAAGGTGTTAGGAAACAGACCAAAGTGCATGCTGCAAAGAAAGGCAACAACCCAAAATATCTGACTTGAAAAACTCTTTCTTATCCCATATCTGATGATTGGCTTGTCCCTCAGTACAGAAGTATAAACGTGTCAGGTGCTTTAAAAAATTTTTCATCTCTTTACAATGTCTACTTTCTCCAGCATCCAAGCTCTTGTCACTCTCAAGCCCTGATGCTTCCAAAGGCAGCCCAGGAAATGAGAGAGATGCATTATGTGTCAAGAAACGGGCGCACAGAGGTTTAAGGAGAGAAGAGGTGAAAAAAAGGAATGTATCTTTAGTAGGCAACAAACAGAAACAACAAGCATGAGATTGACAAAACAGAAAAATGCTGCAACACACAGATTTTTAACAACCCTCCTTTCACATCCATCTGCAGATGAACAAAATAAAAAATCAAGTACCTAAGGACTCCTAACAGATACCATACGTTTCTAAGGAAGCAGTTGCTTCTGTCCTAAATATGGGTTTCTAAGGAAGCTAACAAAACAACGACCAATTGCACTCTATTATTTTACATCACATATTGAAGCTAACAGACTGGAAAGAAATGAGAAGTTTAAATCTCCTTTTGAACATCGTTAGCTGTGTCTGGTCAGAAGAAATTTAGCAAAGCAGCTGCTTTGACTCCTACACTTCGCTACTGAAGCACACCACAATCCTCACATTATCAGGACTGGGGACCTAAGGGAACGTGCCACCGCTCCAGTCCAGTCCACACGCCTGAACAGTGAGAAGCTGGTACTCAACCAGCTCTTGTGTCTCAACAGGGAAACCAAGCAGGACTAAAGTGCTCCTCAGCCCAGAACTACATCTAGATATGCTTTAAGTAGACAGGTCTTAACAGTGTGTTTACATGACACATTTCTGTCTCGAGTTTTCAAAAGATCGCTTTAAAAAGCCTCTGCCATTTAAGAGTCAGGAAAACACCGAGAGCTGATCATCTTTGAACCACTGTCTTTACTTCACATCAGTAAACTAATCCTAAGTAAGAGACTATCTTAATATGTTAACTTTCAAAGCTACAAAACAGCTTCTCTCACTAAGGATGAAACCCCAAGGCTGTTTAGGCTGATCTAAACCCAGGCATACTGCAGGCAAATACCAGCCCAGGCTTATGCAAGAACATAAAAAATCAATTCAAAATGGGTAAATTGGACTAAAACCTAACCCTGGCAAGAAAAGAGAAGAGAGGGAAAAAAAAAAAAAAAAAAGAATGAAGCAACTGGACTATACAACCAGACCAGCTTCCAGAAGCATTGCAGAAATTTCAGCGCAAGGCAGAGGGTACAACCATGAAGCCAGGGGAACGCAGTACCAAGACAGCCTTACATCAGCCTGCAATGCCACAGACCCCCCTCCTTGGCTACAATTTCACACAACCCCCTTCAGATGGCATAAGCTGCAGCACTGTCAAAGGATGCAATGCCTCCCAGATCCCTCCTTCCCTGGACCATCCTCCTCCTGTGCAAGCAAACACAAGTGTGCAGCTGTGTAATGAACTGAACCGGAAAAGCAGCATAGGTATTGATTTTTTTTCCCGGGTTAATTTTGACACAATCAGTTGTCCAATTTGCTCACCACATGAATGCATATATGCTTGTGCCAGCACAAAGAGAAGAGTCAATGCAGGGACAGCACTTGCCTTTTTACTCTTCCAGCAGCAAAGCAGGGTTGAGGCTATCCTACAGTTGTACATGTTACTAATCTCTGTGTTCACACGGACAAACTCTTCAGTTGGTAATAAACCTCCTCAAAAAATCCAAGGGAAGAACGTCAAACTGAAGCAATTATAAATGCTGCCATGAGAGGATTACAAATATCTTAGTTTAGCTGAAATGCCAGCATATTCAAAAGGCAGAATAAATGTCTAGGATTTACTTTCATCTATGAACTTGCCGAGGACTCTAATTCGTGACAGCATTGAAGGTTCACATTAATGACTCTTGCCTTGTATATGACAATGTTTGTGGTTTTATTTGCTATATGAAACCAGTAAGTTAGTTAAACACACACAGAAAAAAAACATGTAGGAGGGAAAAGGGGGAGGGAGCCTTACTGTGTTTAATAATATAGATAGATAGATACAGTAGTTCCTTAAAGAAAAGCCAAAATCTATTATCAGATTTTTTAACTAGGTCAAACAACATTATTATCTGGTATAATTATGGCAAGCAGGATTCATTTACTCATGAACTTACAAACGATAACACTGTAAGAAGGGTCCAAATGGATTTTTAAATAGCATGTTTAATGGGGGAAAAAAAAAATCTCACTACAGGACAGGGTTAAATAATTTCTTTCTGCTATTCTTTGCCATCAAAGCATAAGCCATTCTCTGCTGTTAGCTGCCAGAGAAAATTTAAGTTTCAAGCATTGTTTTGAAGGTTCGAAACATGGACCATTCCAAGAGCTTCAGATGAAATCTGGAACCAAAAAAATCATACCACTCTCAACAGTTCAATACCAAAAAACTACTTTCCCCAATTGCTTGAAAACACTGAATGTTATTCACTTGAAACAATATCCTGTTTGTTTGCTCTGATGCAAGCTAGCGCTACGTGGGAAATCTGGGAGCAAGTGCCTCGGAAACCTCTGTTAAACAGTATTGTTTGGTTGCTAGGGCCACACCAAATTGTTTGGATAGTTTCAAGGAACAGTAAAACAATACAAAGGATAATTAGACAGACAACATACGCCGAGGTCAAAAGGCAACATGGCTTGATGTATGCTAAATTAGAAACAAAGTTGCTTCGTGTTAAACACAAGTGTCCAGAACTAGCAAAGGTTACTTAATACCCAAGTTGGTATTAAAGAATGTTATTTTTATTATCCCGCTTCTCTCTCTAGAGCCCAAACACATCAAGTATTTGAGGATGTGAGTAGTGTCCTATTTACTAAAGAGATTATTCAGGATTCAAACACACAAAGCGGGTACCAAAAGGTAACAAACGCACCCCAGCCTGACAGTCTACGAGGGCATTTCACTTCACAGCTAGTACGAAATGATGAGGTTTAGCTTTTGTATACTTTTTTTGGTACTACTTTACACTGAGCCAAGCGTTGACCCTCCATACGTGCTTTAAATAGTACTTTCTAAGCCTTTTTGTGTCTTCTCCTTTAACTGAAATTTGTTCTCTTTTAGTTACTGCTATTTCTCAGGAAGTTGGAATGGCTGGACTGAAGCATAACTTCTGTCAGGCATCTCCCCTCTTTCGAGATACCTGAAAATACATGTAAAATTATTTTATGTATTTTAAATAAGGTATCCAACTATAAAACAAGGATACTCAACACACTTCTAAAGAGGGCCTTCATAGTTTTCATTAAGTAGATCATATTCCTGGTTGCTATTTTTAAGTTCATTGCTAAGGTCGTAAATAATATTACACAGCTTATATTTAATGAATAGCTTTTTATGATTATTTTTGCAGCACAGGTAATATCATGGGTACTTTATAGGGTTTGCATGTCCATCTGACAACACAAAAATTCCCAAAGATTGAAAATATTATCTGCGTGGT